TACAGCAATCCTAAATATTTATCACCCGTGAGAGTTCAAGCTAAAATACTAATTTTTTACAGACTCTCGGTTTAATGAGTAAATCGTACGTACCCATTCTCTGTGAGACTGTATGAGCGAGTTCCTTGAGCTAAAGCTTGCCCCGCGCAAATCCTGTTGCACTTGGTAGCACCCGCCATCACAGGTCTGGTCGTAGTAATATTGTATCTGACGGGAGGACGGAGCAGGAGATAATTGACTACATGTCCTTAGGACCACAAAAGACGCTCAGCAAGCTTTTGCAATGTAGCCGAACACGAGGTAGGTCTAAAGACCGCAAGTGATATTAACTCGTCTGAGAACGTAAAAAAATAATAGAATGTGCGGGCAACACGCCTTTGGGCTCCCTTCAAACCTACTATTGAATAGTAGGGTGTTCATAGCTCAAATGTGGCGTTGTCATCGCCAAAATTCCGGAATTTGTGAAGTCGTCATAACTCCTGATGAAATTTAAGGTACCGTGTACTTTTGTACGCCGCATGGCCAATGATCATGGTAAATTGAGCGAAAAGACTGTGAGATTGCCGAATACGGGTATGATGTCTGTGCGTATTGCGACGGATACACAGGTCTCAAGGCTTTGCCAGCGATGAATGTTGTGCCGTCCTAAACATGTGTTTTTTGTGTGATCTCAACTCGGGTATGATGGAGCTCAAACTCATGTCTATAGATCGACTGGAAGCTGAAGATATTGAATACCACCCCTATCTTGATGGGTTAGATTCTCATTTTTGCCAGAAAGCAGATGCGTTTTGGCACGGCCATGAAGCTGCGATAGTCTCCGCGTAATAAATTTCAAACAGTATTGCTAGGCGTCGGGGGCTACTCTCGGAGGTAAAAAGTGGCAGTAAGCGGCGGGCTCAGGATGAGATGAAAAGTTGCGGTCATTTGTTGTGGAATACATAATCACATGGAATAATATTGTCCCATCGAGAGCGAAAGCCATTACATATGTAAGTTAGGGTCTCTGGACCAGAGTTGGTATGCCTTATGATAGAGCGTGTGCTATGAATCCTTGGCCGGTGAAGAAAGGTATTTCTCAGAAGATTTCAAGAATGTCTCAAACTAGCTTTGATGGACCCTGAAGCTTAATTTTCACATCCGTGCTGAGTGATAAAGCCCCGCGAGTTATGGCGAGCAGGTACATTTACTTGTGATTAGGTGAATTGTTTCATTCTTGAAAACATCGGTTTCCTCTTTACTCCGAGCAGAATCCCTTATTGAGCTTGATGAGTAATTTCCTAGGATTCTTGCAAAACAGTTGCGAGACGGCGAAGTCATCGAGTTGGCATGTTTCATTTACTTAGTTGAGGGGGGTAACTCGACGTGGTGATAAGCGACCCCACAGGTCTTTGCCGCGAATCGTAAAGTGCGGCGCAATATGAACTGGTTCCTGAAATCTTTACTTCCTTACATTTCAATGACTCTCTCCATGGAAACAGTATGACGTCATATATGCGATCCATGCGAAACAAAACTTGGGCTTAGAGAAAGAAAGTAATTGCCTCAGGGCTTCAGTATCGAAAATTTGATGTTGAGTGGTGATATCTATATTCTTATAAGTCTTAACTTTAGCCTCAACCCCAAAGCAAATGCCGCAAAGAACTGCATAGAGTTTACATTTTCCTCTTTTGAGTAAATCTTGCGAGAATAGCCAATCGGTCATGGCGGATTTGATTCAAAACGCCTGGACTGTGAATTGCTGCATGTCCCGAATGTGACGTCGCGTATCGATGAGGCGATACCTGTAACATGCAATCAGTTGCAACATGTGTTGTATTGTTTAAAACTGTATGAGCACTGGACTTTTGAATTAGACCTCGCTTTAGCAAAGTGATTGGTTGCAAATATTTGTTATAAGGATTACTATAACGACCACTGACTCAACGTGTGGTGTTTCCCCACGATGAGGAGAAACAATGTATGAGGCTTACGGCATCTTTATAAGTGACTAGATTGGAAGAAAAATTATAAGGTATATGCGCGCTATCTACTGGTGATTCAGCTTATAGAAATGAAAAACAAAATGTGTGCGCACGTGCATACTTGTCAATGGGTCAAACAATGCCACATGCATCGGCGGCACGTTAAGCTAGTCTGCTGTATCCGACAAGATGTTGGCAGTCTAAAAGTATAAAGTCTTATTCGTTTTCCAAACACGTCCGATAATATCAATACTAGATTTGTGTGTACGGTCTGAGCAAAGTAGCCCGCCCATTCGATGCCAGCAAACGTGCTACTCGCATGAATACATCCGAGTTGTTCCTAGAAAAGATTTATTGCCAACGTGACTTACTGGTGGCCATTGGACCCGATTAAGGTTCGCGCATGACTGCAAAATTTGGGTGGGCCTTATTTAGTCTGTTTGGCACCATATAAATATATTATCCACTTTCTCACTAAAGAAATAGTAAACAAACGTTTTTATCGCGCAGCAGAGAATTTCTGGCTGAGCAGTTACGTTAAGATAATCAAAATGTCCCACATATTGACTATGTTTTGAATACGCAGTGCATGTCGCTACAGGATTGCACAATTTTTCATAGATGGTTTTGTCAATCTTGTGTTTCGTTGATACAGCATCTGATCGTGGAGAGGGTGAGACTACATACACGGTTTTGTTTGCTCGGATTTACCTGGGTTTATTTGAAATATTTAAAGGATTTCCCTTGCCTTGAGTGTCAAGCGCCGAGTTTCACTGACTATTTGGCCACGAGGTAGGATGTGTTGGAGCAAGTCACAGATACTGATACATATGAGTTTGTAAAGGTGAAGTTGTTTTAATTGAAGCTGCCTTAGATTGAAATATCAGTAGACTACAAGTAGTTTGGGCGCTCTCAAAATTTGTTTGGTCACGGTCGCTGACAAGGCAATACCATCAAAATGTGGAACTTGTAAAAAATCTATGCTTTTGTGGGACTTATAAAGCCATACTACATCTTCAATCTGACAAATCGCTCGGATGCGTACTGCTCTATTGAAGACGAAAAAATACCGCGATCATCCCCTGTACCAGAGTAACGTAGTGATATTGGGCGACAATAGGATTCTAAACCGCTTAACGACCACACACAGCTAGCCGAAGTTAATTTGGCCAGATTCGAAAATTTCCAGAAGTAAGGACGCGCATTCAATGTGACCCACTTGAGGGAGGGCTGTCTCCATCCGCCGGTCATTCTCGATAAGTTAGAGATGGTCTACTGCATATGGAGCTGATAGAGGTCTGGCGAGTCCACCATTGCTGTACAAATTATTTGATGAAAATTAGAAGATGCCATTACTTTGATAGATTTCGGAGACTTGATGTTACAGATTGAAGAACGTTTTTGGCGCCGTAGCCGCTTACGAATTTGCCTTCCATTAATTGTTACCTCCCATGGAAGGAAAAGTGCTACTGTGTGTGTAGCGCGCTTACCAGTAGCTAGTAAACATGACCGCGCTCTCACTGGGTGGGGTATACTTCAAAAATTATCGCACATTATGCGCTGGTGTGGATGCTACCGGGTCGAAAAGCCTGCCGGTTGCCATCTTTGTGCTCATCATTCCGAAAACGCCTGTGGGCAGAGCCTTTCTTCATATCCCGCACGCGGTGCAACTTCGAACAGCACGTCCGCGGTCTCAAGAAAAGCGCAGTCCAAGCTCGGTAACCGAGTACCGCGCAGCGCATTGCCAGTGACAGGGTCGCACAACCGAAGACACAGATGCGATGTCTACTCCCGACTGCGCACCGCGCCCGCCACGGGCGATGGATTACCACGTCAAGGATTTGGTGAAAGTCAACAAAGGGTCGAATACTCTTATCTCAGGATGGGGCGAGGTGCCCCAGCGGCGCAACGTGAGCCTTGCTCGACCCTTGAGGACGCCGTGTCTACTTCACGGCCTCTCGACTTCCGGGGAAACTGATGTCATTAACAATGACCTCGTCGAGGCACAGAAGCAGCAGCTCGATGCTGTCCGCAGGGCGGCTCCCATGCACGCGCATCCACAGTCAGTTCTTGCTCCTTCGTGGGTTATACGACTTCCGCACAGCGGATCCCGCTACAGAAGGAAAGGACGCGACCACTCCATCGTTACGCATCTACGTAGTCGGGTCCCCAGACACTAAACAAGCTGAGCTTGAAGAAAGAAACGCTCCCCGAGCTCGCTTCTTGATTTCTCAAAAAATCCTGGTGGATACGTACCGCACTCGACTTCGTGCTCAATGAGGCGGCGCTCCTGTACAACTATTCCTGCGGTGTCTGCTCCTGGCAAAACCGCTGCACATGATGAAGAGCTTTATGAGCGATGAAATAACGGCACCGGAAACGTTCATCACTGTACAACTTAAAG